TGGGTGGAGAGAGGTACTGTGAGAGTAAAGTGTCTTGCCCAAGAACACAACACAATCGAACCCGGACCGCTCGATCTGGAGATGAGCGCGCTAACCATGAGGCCACTGCGCCTCCCATAAATCACATACATTGTATGTATATTTACCAACACACAATTCCTATGATCATTGCCCAAGTGAAATATGCCATCTCAAAAACTGGTATCTCTTTAATTTTGTGTTGATTTTCTTTTCAGATGGTCTTGTAGTATCACATCTTCCATTTGGTCCAACAGCTTATTTCACTTTATCAAACACAGTAATGAGACATGATATTCCCAAGATTGGTACAATGTCCGAGGCATATCCACACTTAATATTTCATAACTTCAATTCAAAACTTGGAGAAAGGGTATGTTGTGAACATGTCATATCTGTCATCCTTCCAAAAAAATTGTCTAACCTACAGTGTACAGCTACACATGTACACAGAGTGACAAAAAACATGCACCTTTCTATTTTTTGGAACAGGTAAAAAGCATTTTGAAATATTTGTATCCAGTTCCTAAAGATGATAGTAGAAGAGTGATTACATTCGCAAACCAAGAGGACTACATCTCATTCAGGTGGGTGATTTTTAAAAGGATTTTAACACATTTGGAACTTTTTACATGTAAAGTAAACATTAAATACATGTACAGTTTTAAAAAGCATGTGAATTACCAAAGGGCTGGTACACGAGTCTGTGGTTTAAATGTATCTCAGATTGTTCAGATGGTCATAGGTCAGAAGAAATGGAGGTAGCAACAGCATGAACCTTGCTGTAGCCACTGAAAGACAAATACCCTTTATTGCATGCTCATCTCCACTATCCTGCAAGTGAGAAGTGTCAGATGTTAGCTGAAATGTGGGTTTTCATTTGCATTGATCCACATGTACTGTCAAGTAAACTGTGTTATTTACAATGATATATAACTAGCTTTCGTCCCAGGTTGGTGTGGAGCAGATGAGGTACATGTATCAAGAAATGTCAAGATAATATGTGTATTTTTTGAGTCTCTACCTCCACGCTGCTTTCAAAACTATACACATGTGCATTTAGTGCCACAATTGTTTCTGTAATACAGTTTGTGGCTTCACTTATAACATGGGTTGCAAGTGACATTGTATATATATATGTATTTTTTTCATGTATATATTTTTTTTTCAGGCATCACACATATAAGAAAGTAGATGGACAGGTTGAATTAACAGAAGTGGGACCAAGATTTGAAATGAAAGGTAAGTTGTCAACTTAAAAATATTTTTTCCCATCTCTTTTTAAAGCAGTAGGCAAGGCAAGGTAAAGTCTGCATACAAGCCAAATGGCCCATCAGGCCAGTGCTCATCCTGGTTTCAGTTCTGAGTATAATGAAGCAAGTAGGAGTATTTCTACTCCCCCCTGGATGGGATGCTAGTCCATTGCAGGGCTACCCCCAGCATTAAATTCACCGGTAGCCATTTATACACCTGGGTGGAGAGAGAGGCACTGTAAGAGTAAAATGTCTTATCCCAAATTTTTGAACAGTTTTTCTCTCCTTTGAAGGGGTTCATCAGATGGGTGATATTTTAGGTATATAAGACCTCCCATTTATAAACTAGGTGGGACCTCCTCAAGATCACACCGGTATGACCAATTCACTTGTTTTGATGTATGGGTCAACGCCCGTCCTCCTTGCTAATGCTGCGGAAGAAGCCACGCTGAGAAAATCAGGACTTAAAATCGATGGAAGAGTAGTTCGTCATAAAAATGATAATAATGAGTGATTTGTATCAACAGAATTCTACTTTGTATAGTGGGGTTTTATCTGTTTTCTTTTTCAAATTTTACATTTGGCTTTCACGGGTTTCATCTAAAACAATTTAAAATAATTCAATATGATTTTTGAACTGGCGCGCGGAAGAAAAATTTAGTGGTGAACAATAAAGACAATAGATTATTTATGTCTAGGAACTATCAGCCGATAGTTCCTCGACAGGAACACTACTGTTCAAATAGAAACCTCTAACTCATAATCTAATTTTTATTAAATAGAAAATAAACAAGGCGAGAACCAGGATTGCTATAATAAATTGTTGAAACCAAGTTTGGCTTGCTACATGCAATACTTACGGTTACTACTTACAATAGGTAGATAACTCGAGATAGCTGTATAAAGTTTCTGCTGACTCAATAAAAGGAGATGTAGATAATAATTACAATGAGGAAAGGTTTACAAGATTTCGGCTCTCTTTCAGAGCGATGGCCATCAGTGTAAATCAAATCGACCGATAAGAGGTAGCTTATATATCAAGGCTAATTACGAGTATCGAAACAAGTTATGATATAACATGCATGATGTAAGAAATAAAAAAAATTCTAACTCTTTAGGAACTTAATGTAGAGAGCCTAAGAAATGCTAATTGGAACCAATTGCGATTTCGGTCAATGTCCTCAAGTTAGTGTGAACAACATTACAATGTAATTATTTGTAATCTGTTTACATCAGTTCTATGAAATGAGATAACCTAAGGCTTTTTTAGCCTACCGCGGGGTGACTTAAAATTATAGAGGCTTAAAATACATTGTATTTCACCACGTTTGATTAAGTTAATAAAATTATGTGATTAAAAAAAAAAAAAGGATTTTAGGTCTGCATCAGAACGAGACACTAAGGGTTTCTGACATCATACATTACTAGATTAAGTTCCTTTGCCATGGGCTTTCCATAGCAAAGAATAATTTTAAGACTGCTAAGCTTAGGTTGGAAGGTCAGTAGCACGACAAGAGCCGTTAAAGTGCCGGCTATGGTCAAGTCCCTACCCCTTGCCGGCAATTTTATGGTTATCATAAAGAATTCCACGAAAGATTGTAATGTTTTCCGTTTTCAAATATCTTTATCAGTTCCGGAGATATTTCAGTTTAAATAAATTTGTAAAGCATGAAATTAGGGACGTGGTGACGTCAGAAACAAAACTCTATCTACAATTCAAAAAGAGCTATGTCGGTCAATTTGATGTGAAGACCACTGAAATTTGGTAAACCAGTGTATTTAGAGGCGACACACCTTCAGCTATATATAGAAAAAATTATTCTTCTGGTAACTAACTCTTTTCTACTTCCCTCCAACCTGTTTGCAAAATTTTTAGGAATTTTCAGCTCAAAAAACAAGGCCAAGAACTCGACCAAACATATTTATATGCTTGTAAGATCATGCAGATGAGGCATCATTGGGAAATATCAAGATAAAACGTCAAAATGGTCAGAAAAACCTTAAACATTGGTGACATTTTACTGTAGCACACAGTAGGTTGCCATAGCAAAAAACGTACAGTTAAGCTCGTATTTGTACACCATACATTTCTGATACAAATTGGTTGAGATATCTTTGTCTGCATATTTGATCAAAATTTGGTCGAATTTATGACGTCATCACTCCGCTAACTTGAATATCTCTGGAATAAAAAGAGATATTTGAAAACCGAAACAGCATTTTTGTTCTCAAACACACAAATTACTGATGTTTTAAAACGGCATAAATAGGACAGGTGTGAATTTCATCACGTTAACACTTAAGCTGACTTTTTTTTGAGCAAAGGCAAATACGGTTTATTTAATTTCGGTTATCGAACGAAATCAAACCCACAAATTGCGCACCGAACAAAATTGAACGATAAAGCTCGATTTTTTTCAGTTAACAAAAACTGGTTAGAATACGTCTTGTTCGAGTACAATAAATGTGACTGCATCCGTAACATAAAAATTAACAGTCCATTCCCTTGTGTGTGGGGCGCACGCAATCCCTTAGCTTGACGAGGCCAAACAACATCAGCTGTAAAACGGGTTGAACCAGGAGAAGAAAGAATCCGATAATGCAACCAGTTGACGCCTCGAAGTTGTTATAATCCAGTAAACTGTAAATGTAAGGCTGGCCTTGGATGTTCGTACCACCGAGCTGCCAATAAACGACGGTGAATGTAAGGTATACAATGATATACAGCAGAGGATAGGCCGAGTGGAAGAGACGGACTGGGATGGAGCTCAGGAATGTGTCAATCACCATGAACACAGAGTTAAGAGCATGCTTTGTTATGTTGTTCGCGTCAACTGGTTCGTCTTCTTCGAACAGAACGGTCCAGTAGCCTGCGGTGACTAATAAACCGGCGTTGGCACTGATGATATAGAAAAGCCAGAAAATTTTCTGTGGCAGCCGCAGAGCATCTTCTTCGCGGGCCTCTGTGGTTGCTTTTTCATTCTGGTTGGCGTTTTCGTCGCCAGATCCCATCTCTACTACTTGTGTCTCGGTAGTACTGGGGCTAGCTTCTCTTCGCGTCTTGCATTCACAGTAGAGTGCACAGAGGGTCAGAGTCGTAGCTTGCAGGAAGTACAGGTTTAGGATCAGGTAAGTCCAGTTTGTCAGGAAAATGAACAGCTTTGCCTGGTATTTGTAGATGTTGTAGATGAGCCACGCGAAATTATAAGCGGTCACGATCAGTCGATAGGCAAGAAAGAAAGGTAACGACAGCCACTGCAAAGCAAAGGACAGAAAATTAAAAAATTAGCTTCGAACTTGAAAACATAAAAACTGAGCTTTTACGATAACTGCAGAAATTCTCGCGCGCTCATTGGCTAATTTTTATTGTCAATGATAGGACAGACACATGAATTTATAATTTATGCGATGCGTCAACGAGCGAGAGCGGACAATTTGACAATTTGCTATCGTAAAAAACAGTTTGATGTCAGTTTTTAATGTTAATGTTAATTTCTGTCTTGTTATTGACAATGAATTTCGTTATAACATTGTCAAAGTAGTCTGCGGATCTACTCGGCTATTGCCTCGTGGATCCACAGTGGCATCCTGAGTATCCGCTACAGTCCACAATAAGCTTCCTCGACACTCGAAAGTCGGCAATATTGCGCAACACTCGAAAGAAAGTACTTGGACGAATATGGACATGACGTCATTCGTCCCTGAAGAATTTTTTTTTTGGACGGGGGGGGGGGNAGATAGATACATGGACAGATCTCGAATTTTTATGTATTTCGCGATTAGAACTGCGTTCTGTCGAACGCAATTAGCATTCTCATCTCCGGGATCCTCTCAGGTATTCTTATAGACCCTGGGAACGAGGCAACAGGTTACGCAGCAGGGGTGGAGTCTGTTATTGTCCAATCAGTTGTAACTCGCTCGCACCTAAACTGTTCACTAAATTGTTGGTTAATTGTTTCATCTGCATTCGATTTGCTTTAAATGCTTCGACTAGTACGAATCGAAACGGTAGTTCGCAACGAGTTCAGCAACGATTTGGAGGAAATACTTAAAGCATTTTCACTTTCCAGTCGCCGTGACAATGCTTCCATTCTGATCTTTAGTTTTGAGGTCTATCCAACTGCTTAACTGCCATGATCCACTTAGCAACACACAGTGGGAAACATTTACTTTCTAGAGACAATTTTTTCTAAACATCAATGCTATAGTTTGGAACACAGCACATAGCGCGATTTGGCCCACAGACCGAATATAGCGCATGTATGAATCTTACAATGTTTCCTTTTCGATACAGATTCAGTTTAAAGAGTCAGCCGGAATAGAGAGATTAATTTCTCGTCTTGAGTTCCTTGAAGTTATTAAAAAGAATCTAAAGAATCCCTGTCTCACAATGTCACCGGTTACAATTATATTTTCGACCGCGAGACCTTCAACACTTGACCATTATTTTATCATGAAACGGCAGCGGAACATGTCTGAATCCGCATAGTCGACACTTTGATTCTGCAAACTAACGGTCAGTTTTTATACGTGCTCAACTTTGTTAACAAATATTCGAGCAAAAACAGCGATAAACCTTTCCACCGATCCATCCTGCATACCTCGTACTAAGAATTGTCAAGTACATTCAGAATAGGGGTGTAATTAATTACTGAAAGCAGTGTCCAACTTGTTATATTCCCTTGAATAAAAATTCTTAGACGATTGTTTTGTTAATAAGTTGCAGTTCGATTTCTCCACTCACCCGTGAATGCGTAAAATCGCGCAGTATTGGATGCCACAATTTGAAATTTCGAAGGCGAAATTCTTCTCGACACATTGTTGAATCAGCTGCTGGTTTCCAACGGCCCAGACTGTTTGACAGCTTCGATTTCTACCACTGCGACCCAACGCAGGGCAACACTTATAAATGTATCGGTGATCAAGTGGAAACAACGCATTAAAAATTTAAATGTGTTTTTCAGGTCACCGTGTTTTGATGACCCAGTTGTTTGTTTTGCGGAGTCCGGGTGCTACCAAGGCCCGCGAAAGTCACGCAAAATTTGAGCATGTCTCCTCATTTCCCAACATCTTATTGAAATAACACCCAAACGAACAAGCAGAGAAATTTCTCATTATAGAAAACCGCAAAAAATGAATGGAAAATGAGGCAGAGAAAAAAAATCTTGTGCATTTACGTCAGTGACTGGCTTGGTTACTAAGGAAGCTTTATCCGCGCGTCACTGGGGCGAGAAAAGAATCCAAGATGGTGGGTTATTTGCACGTGTTTTTGTTTAGTTGCCGATGATCACAAATATTTCTCGTTTTGCTCACTTACCTAATATTGTTTATCGTTTTTGAACAGCTCAGAAGGCAGGCGAGACTTAGGAGGGAGTATCTCTATCGGAAGTCGGCAGAAGAAAAAGAACGCTCGACCTATGAACGAAAGAAGAAGCTCAAGACTGCTTTGGAAGGTCAGTTGTATGACACGAGCTTAAAAGTTCAGATTTCTTTTGCGCAAAGACAAATGCAGTTAACCTCTTTTCAATGTTGTCATTATCTAGGAGAGGAATGACGACCTCTATTTTCGTTTACCTACATAAGCAAATAGTACATAACTACAACTGGAACAATTCGATGTCTGAATGGGAAGCCCATGGTAAATGAACTAAATTGAGTTTGTTATATTTTTTTCCTGGGTTTATGCATCACATGCTTAAATGACTCGAGTGGATCTTTTTCCATTAACTGAATCTAATAAAGATTTTCTTGAATATTTTATGGGAGTAGCAAATGTGCCTTCAAATGGTATTGTTATACCTTCCAACTCAAATACGTTTTCTGATTGGAGGAAAACGTGTCACGTGTCATAGGTCAAAACTCACTAACTCCCTAGGGCGAACAAAACTCACTAACTCCCTAGGGAAACAACAACTTGAACTTTTGACTTGCACATGATCAGGTCGTGCACCTTGAAACTGTGGCAAACTTGTGTGCCAGTCGGCCTGATGTCAAAAAACCATTGAAGTTGGGCAACGTTTCTCACTAGAGAAGACATTCATTGTTTAAGAAAAGGGATTTATATTTGCAAAAACATATCTGATTAACAAAGTGGAGAATTTGAACATTTTGTGTCTTCAAGGTTTTAATTTGTCACCAAAACATGGGCCACCTTTGCTCTTCGATCGCTGGCACCAGGTAGGAAAATAGTTGTGTCATTTACAACAAAATATGCCATTCCTCGTCAAATCAAACACAGAACTCTCGAGTTAAGCATTAGTAGAAGGCAAAGTAACTTTAGTATTGTCTTTATCGTTTGTTAGCTACGAAGAAAAACACTGTTATTGTTTCCTTTTGGTAGGACAGCTCGGATAGACTGCGGCTCATACACCATAGGCATCAAGGAAATCATTTTTTCGCAGTTTTTTTCTATTTTTGAGTTGGGAGGTGTAACAAAACACTTAATGACTGACCCCTCGGGAAACTGAGTTTTGTTTCCCCTCAACCTTCAATGCTCCCCTTGGTTTCGCCTCAGGGAACATTGAGGTCTAGGGGAAACAAACCCACTGCTTCCTTTGTGGCCAATCATTAAGTGCTTAATGATCATGTAGAATTGGCCAGGTTTATGCCAGGATCTTACCATCTCATTTTCTTTGCAAACACGGTGAAACTCTTGGGTTCACGACTGTATTAGTCTCACTGTCTCAAAGGTTTCAGTTGTTCTATTTGTGAACCCTTTGTACTGGTTTGTTTACACATGGAATTACAAAAAAAAGTTATATTCATTTTTCTCTTACTGTTTTCAGAGGGAAAGCCAATTCCAACAGAGCTAAGAAAAGATGAGGCAGCCCTGAGGAAAGCCATTGAATTTGATGATGAAAAACACGAGCGTATGTTGAGTAGATCTTCCTTGTTTTTTTTAAGTGTTAAGGCCATCTGAGTTAGTTTACACCGTTGGGAAATACCATAAGCAGAATAGAAAATAATAATGAGTAGATGAAGTGCATTTGGCATTTTCACCAAAATAAATTTTTTTTAGCAAAAATTACCACAAATTGCATCATAATAGTGTAGAGAAAAGGGAAGCGAGGGGATGAATCAGTCTGCAGTCTACAGAGAGTAAGGTTTAATTTTTGTACTCTTTTAACAAACTAATAAAGAAAAAATAATTTCTCAGTTGGTGTAGCACTTGTGATTGTTCAGGTTAGGCTAGTTCTGAACAGAAATGCTGATGATTGACATTTGAGCAACTTAAAATCCAAGTGAAAAGACTGTACATGTATTTGTCAGTCAATTGTGTTACTAGTCTCACTGGTTACTTTAAACTTGATTGGTGAGTTAAACCATGATGGTATTGGCTGTAAGACTCTTACAGAATTTGTCAACAGTTCTGGTATCTTTGACCCATCTAAAATTAGCCTCTGTCATAGCCGCCCCTCAGCTCCTCACAAGAAAAGTTCAGAGACACGTCTCTCCTATTTTTTCTTTCGGGGAGGGGTGGCTGTGGCACAGGCTAAGGTAGAATGTCAGCAAAAGTAAGCCATTCTGTTAAAGGTCTCTTGATCTAGTGTTAGTATTGCTTGTCTGTGTTCAGAGACAGCCAATCATCAGGATGATGAATATGCCTGGGCTGGAGTGCAGGATCCCAAGATAATGATAACGACTTCTCATAATCCAAGCTCAAGGCTTAAACAATTTGCCAAGGTAATAGATCGACATTGTTAGGCATAATTTTTACAGAACTTGTCCTTACTTACACCACACTTACATGTACAAAGATTATTTTGACGAAGAAGAATTACACCTCCAGTGCTCAACGATTTTATGGGGTACTAATACTCAAGCATTGAGTTGGTAATGGAAATGGAATGAAAAATTGTGTACTAACTGAAAGATAAATGGAAAATGGCATTGTGCTTTTTCCATGTTATCATGTAGCAATCCTCATTGTGCGTGTCTGCACAGACACGCAAGATAACCATCATGGAGTGCCATCGGCAGCTGTCCGTGGACATGTTTGTAGAAAGTACCCCCAACTTCAACCCTACTCTGTCATCTCTTCAATGCCATACCAGTTGTCTCTACATCTTCTTTGGTCAAACCCTTCCTTGCTTACCAGCTTGTCCACTTCATGGTTACTTGTTGAATTTCCAATGATGGTACTCTGCAGATGTGGCCAGTCTATTTCCATCTGGGAATCTTCACTACATCAGGGACAGGCATAACAGTTTGGTCATGCCCTTCCTCTGTTTCCATGTACCCATTAAGAAAGAGTGGTACATGTAAATTTGATCTTCGTTGTTTCAAAAATGTTCACAGTGGATACAATGTATGTTCTAAACGTAAAATTATAAATTAAAGGATCTTTCATTTTTCACAAAAAATTCTTATACATGGACATGTACACAACATGGAGGGCTAATGTTTTTAAGAGATGTTGTGTTTTGTCTTTTAGGAGCTGCGCCTAATATTTCCTAACAGTCAGCGGTTAAACCGTGGCAACTATGTATTGAGCCAGCTGGTTCATGCATGCAAAGCTAATGAAGTCACAGACCTAATATTGGTTCATGAACACAGAGGAGAACCTGGTATGTTTTGGAGACTTCACATTTTAAAGTTTTGTTTGAACATTAAAGGCTCTCTGTACTATTCTTCATACAGTCATTACAATGTGCCAACTTTTGATATGTCTAATACTTTACAGTTTTATTGTTATTATAGCAAATTGGTCCACAGCAGAAAAGAGAATTCTGATTGTTTTCTTGAGCAGTCCGAATTTTGTTATACATGTATGGACCGCTAAGATGGACTGCTCAGAAACAGTTTCAGCAAATTGCTTTTTAAAACATTGCAGAACAGAAAACAGTTTCTTCAGAATTTCTTTATGTCTGAAGGATAATTTCAGTTAAACTGTCATGAAAGGGGTCTGACAAATNCCTCCCATAAATCACATACATTGTATGTATATTTACCAACACACAATTCCTATGATCATTGCCCAAGTGAAATATGCCATCTCAAAAACTGGTATCTCTTTAATTTTGTGTTGATTTTCTTTTCAGATGGTCTTGTAGTATCACATCTTCCATTTGGTCCAACAGCTTATTTCACTTTATCAAACACAGTAATGAGACATGATATTCCCAAGATTGGTACAATGTCCGAGGCATATCCACACTTAATATTTCATAACTTCAATTCAAAACTTGGAGAAAGGGTATGTTGTGAACATGTCATATCTGTCATCCTTCCAAAAAAATTGTCTAACCTACAGTGTACAGCTACACATGTACACAGAGTGACAAAAAACATGCACCTTTCTATTTTTTGGAACAGGTAAAAAGCATTTTGAAATATTTGTATCCAGTTCCTAAAGATGATAGTAGAAGAGTGATTACATTCGCAAACCAAGAGGACTACATCTCATTCAGGTGGGTGATTTTTAAAAGGATTTTAACACATTTGGAACTTTTTACATGTAAAGTAAACATTAAATACATGTACAGTTTTAAAAAGCATGTGAATTACCAAAGGGCTGGTACACGAGTCTGTGGTTTAAATGTATCTCAGATTGTTCAGATGGTCATAGGTCAGAAGAAATGGAGGTAGCAACAGCATGAACCTTGCTGTAGCCACTGAAAGACAAATACCCTTTATTGCATGCTCATCTCCACTATCCTGCAAGTGAGAAGTGTCAGATGTTAGCTGAAATGTGGGTTTTCATTTGCATTGATCCACATGTACTGTCAAGTAAACTGTGTTATTTACAATGATATATAACTAGCTTTCGTCCCAGGTTGGTGTGGAGCAGATGAGGTACATGTATCAAGAAATGTCAAGATAATATGTGTATTTTTTGAGTCTCTACCTCCACGCTGCTTTCAAAACTATACACATGTGCATTTAGTGCCACAATTGTTTCTGTAATACAGTTTGTGGCTTCACTTATAACATGGGTTGCAAGTGACATTGTATATATATATGTATTTTTTTCATGTATATATTTTTTTTTCAGGCATCACACATATAAGAAAGTAGATGGACAGGTTGAATTAACAGAAGTGGGACCAAGATTTGAAATGAAAGGTAAGTTGTCAACTTAAAAATATTTTTTCCCATCTCTTTTTAAAGCAGTAGGCAAGGCAAGGTAAAGTCTGCATACAAGCCAAATGGCCCATCAGGCCAGTGCTCATCCTGGTTTCAGTTCTGAGTATAATGAAGCAAGTAGGAGTATTTCTACTCCCCCCTGGATGGGATGCTAGTCCATTGCAGGGCTACCCCCAGCATTAAATTCACCGGTAGCCATTTATACACCTGGGTGGAGAGAGAGGCACTGTAAGAGTAAAATGTCTTGCCCAAGAGAGCAACATAATGTCCCTGGCCAAGGCTTGAACCCAGACCACTCGATCCAGAAGCAAGTGCACTAACCATAAGGCCTCTGCTCCTCCACTTTTGAAGTAGTACTCATCTAAAACTGGGTTTTGTATTCTCCTCCAGTTTATGAAATCAAACTTGGAACAGTTGATCAGAACGAAGCTGATGTGGAATGGAGATTAAGACCTTACATGAATACGTCGAAGAAGAGAAAAATGCTGAGTAGTCAGTAACTTAAAGTAGCTAGTAAGTTAGATCTCTCTTCAGGAGCTGGAGTAGTTAGTCAAGAGCTAGTCAATTGCAGTACATGTATATACGTGTAGTTTGATGCTTATAGTTGTAACATTTGAAGTATATAATGTAAATCTATCAGTGCTTGTTCATCTCTACTAGTATTCTTACGATGTACAAAATACATGCAAAATTGTTAAAGAACCAGGTTTCAAAATATTGCAATATAATTGACTCATTAACGCACACATTTTGTTGTGCTTTTCATTATGGAATTGTATGTAGTCTTAAAGTAAGTGACATTTTTACCAAGCAACCTCTCCCATTCTTCGTTTCCTTTTTCTTTCTCTCTCAAGGTTATCTTTGCCTTTTCATTGTTTGCTTTGTTAATCCTTGTTAGCTTGTTATTAGTCAGACGTACACATGTACGATACAGATTAGAATCAAGAACATTTAACCAACCCTTCCCCTCCCAACCCACTCTGATATTGTGAGTGGACCCGTCAATGTACAGTAGAACCCAGTTAATCCGGTCACCAGCAGGCCACAAAACTCTGGTCGTATTAACGGGGTGGCCGTATTAAAGGGGTTCTTTAAGTAAGAAAATGACTGACTGAGCTTTCGTTCGAGTCAGAATAAAGTGGCCGTAATAACGAGGTGGTCGTATTAACGGGGAGGTCGTAGGGCGGGGTTCCACTCTACATACAGGTAATTAGAACAGTTTCAAAGCAAATTTTAATTTATTGGGGTAAAGCTATATGGATAGTGTTAGTTACATGCATCTTACTTTCCAAAATACCACTTAAACGTCTTGGTCCACAAACGGGTGCAAAGTAACTTGCCCAATATCCAGCGATCTTGAATTGACGCTTGGTCAATAGATCTTTGTCCGTCTATATTTATAAATATTGCAACGGTTTTAGTTTGATTGGGTTGTGATGACATAGTTTTAATCAGTTAATTCTATTGTTTAGTGTTACGAAGACCTTGAACTTTACTTGAACTTTAATTTTATTTTGCTTTCTTACACATATATAGTTACAATTGCTTGCCCCCGCAACTAGTTCCAGAACTGATCGAGGCGGGGTAAGAGTTTATATTGAAAACTTGTTTCTCCTTACAGCAGTACTTGAATGTTGTTAAGTAAGCTGTGGGGGAGGGGAATATGAAATGAAATCAACTAAAAGATGAGCTTCGTTTTACATTTCTTAAATCAACTTGAAGATAGGCAATCAAAGATGTCTCACATTGAAGGAGTTCAAGTAAGCTCTGTGTGCGAAACATATTGCATATTTTTCTTGAATAAGCAAACGCAAGCAAATTCGGAATGACACACCAGTGACACATTCTCGAGGTACGATTATAGCGGAACAGAAGCTTCAATAAACTAAACAAGTTCAAAGCTTACTGCTGTTGATCCACGACAGCTTACAGTGCAAACAAGTCATTAGATGTTCCTGTAGCCATGAGCGTTTAGTCCCTTAGAATTGCGGCACTAGTTTTAACGCAATGCAAGTCTCTTACTTCATTTTTCAACATTAATGTTTCTTACAAAACGTACCAACGTCAAAGAGTCTCAACGATTGACTGTATACGTGCATATTTAAAGCCCACGGGCAACTTAGAGAAGGTGTTCTTCTCTGAAGTTTGCCAAGAGAGGTAGTTTATTTATAACGATAGTGCCAGAACACCCAAGCTTGTGATTGGTAACATCTAGTGCCCTCTTCAATAGATTAATCTTAGAAGGTAAATACGCAAAATAAGCAATAAGTTATCAGCCCTCCTTATTTGCTTGGCGAATATCAATATTAAAACTGATGCCACAAAACAGCTCGCATGTTTGCATATAGCGGAAAGTTTGGGGCTCTCGGACATCTGCAATTTTGAAGTTCTCCACAAAACTAGCCCAAATGTATGGATCAGGCAATGAAAACATAAACGACGGGGTTTTCTTTGTTATTTTTTTTTAGTAATAATACAACGAGAAAATAAAAAGTGTTTTTACTTTATCGTGGCGTCCCAGAGTTCGGCGATGGTGCGCGATCACATGCATTGCCAACCCGTTAGGAATAATAGGTACACAATGTGTACGGGTGTCTTACTTTACTCGCCGCCATGTATGGGTTGGGTAATAAAAACATGGCTGTTTGCTATTTGTTTTCTTAAGTTAAATTTTTGGGATGTTGGGTGGTCATTTACTCAGATCAGTACCAAACCCCTATATTTACTCTGTAGCTAATTAAGGGGCTTCATGTAGATTTTGTAACAGCAGGGTGCGAGTTTTGAAAAATTAAAATTCCACCAACCTTAATTTTTCACTTTTGACAAACTACGCCACAGTGATAACACATGAGCGGAGTTATTTGGTTTTTTTTTTGGTTTCTTGGCAACAGAGGTTACCATGCATGAGAACGGCTGAAAGATTGTTCCCTTCAGCGGGCGGATTACTAATTTGAAATATATTTAGGAATCTTGAGTCCAGCTTCCAGTGCATTTTAAGCACTTCTCTAAGTGCGGCCTACCTCTTAAGCGGACTATCACATAATACGAAGACCATGATGGTGGCTAACGTTCATACATGTAGGGTAAAGGTAAAGTCTGCATACGAGCCAAGTGGCCCACCAGGCCGGAGCTTATCCCGGTTTCTGTAGCATGAGGCGACTAGGAGTATTTCTACTCCCCCCTGGATGGGATGCCAGTCCATTGCAGGGTTACCCCCAGCATTAAGTTCACTGGTAAACCTGGCTGGAGAGAGGCACTGTGAGAGTAAAGTGTCTTGCCCAAGAACACAACACAATGTCCCCGGCCAGAGCTCGAACCCAGACCGCTCGATCCGGACACGAACGCACCAACCATGAGGCCACCGCGCCTCGCAGCCCATACATGTAGGGCTTATTGTTAACTAAGGATAGCTTCGGCAAACCCGTGAATATTGCTATTTGATATTTTCAGAATTCTTGTTCTCAATACTGTTAATCAGTTTAATTGGAATGTAATTAGTAACTTCGCCTAGTTTTATTCATTGATCTATTATTTTATTTTTCTTTGTTCGGGTATATTAGCACTACCATGCTACACTGACACCCGAATGAAAGTAAAGTTGCAGTTAAAGTAAACTTGTCTGTTTATAGGTATTATAGATAACGATGAAACGTCTCTGATGGAAGTTCATCGGATGAAAATGTTAGCATGGGGATTAGCCACATTTTTCATATAAGACCATTTGCCAGACGTTACACCACAAGGATCACTGATGGGAAAGTATTTCCGCGTACAACCGTCGAAATAGTAGTATCCGTCAACCTAGAATGAGGCTGAGAGAAACACTGGCCCACAATTTGAACCATCACTAGGTGAAACTGAGGAAGGTGCTGGCGTCTCCAAACACTTGTCGCTCACGCGTTTGACAATCTGACAACTGACGCTCTCTTCCTGCCAATCAGCCAAACTTCCTGTTCCCGGATTACATATCAACCAGTTGTTTATGTTGCTCTTGATGAGGACCTGTCTGCCAAGTTGTTTCCACAGAGAGAACTCCATGGCGTTGTAGTCTGTTTCGCTCAGTGGTGGAGTTGTTGATATGGGAACATCCGCTT